TAGAGTTCTTATATGGAGACTACCAGTAGAGGTGCTGCTATTACGTTCACTACTTCTGCAAGGCCGGAGCTGGTGGTCATTCTGTTTCGTGGCCAGCGCTCGGATGTCTCACGCTTGGCGGAATTTCACACTCGTGTCTGACTATTGGCAACGGAAAGGGCAGAACTCGTTCAAACACGAAGTTCTCAACGTCACTGTCTTTGTTTTCTGTTGGCTGTGGCTCGTATCCAATACGATACTCACAGTAGAGCTCTTGGGCGATGCTGGCTTTCTACAAGAGAGCTTTTCGCTGCCTCGACAAACGTCTACCAATACTGGCAGGAATATGTGGTCACTTTTCCAAGCGGTTTACTTCACTATCATCACGATCACCACTGTGGGCCTCGGCGATTTTAAACCGCAAACCGTGCTGGGCCGACTGGTTGTGCCCTCCGTCATTCTGGGCGGTATTGCAGCCTTTTCACTGACCACTACGAAGTTCCTTCTCCTCGTGCGGAATCGGCGCATCGGTCTTCGTCACTACAGACGATATGGTTCGCGGCTCAACGTGCTTGTTACAGGCGATCCGGACTTGGATTCCCTGGTGCATTTTATACTGGAATTTTTCCATCCGGAAAAATTCGGTGTGAAATACGACATGATCATCCTCGTCCCGCATCGACCAAGTGAGACCACCCTTGGGAATGCTGAGCTCATTCATTTTCGAGATTGATTTATATCGAACGTTGCTGCGTCTTAGTCCCAGCAGACGGCGAATCTTTCTTCTATAAACTTCGAGAATATCTCACCAAAACTGAAATCGGGAGGTCGGCCATCGGCCAACTATGGTTCCATCATGGCACCATTATGAATGTGAGGCGATCCAAGGTGGATCCTTAGGGTGCCTGTTGGTTGTCAGTCCGAGGACGTCCGCCTCATAATAGGCCCTCACGCTGGTGGTGGCGGTGGCTTGCTTACACAGCATCGACCGGAGTGTATATGGGTAACCATACACGGTGATTGCTCTCTGTTCTGCCTCTCACGTGCCCCGGGGGGACTACCCTCTAAGACTGCCAACCAGTGGTTAGCAACCATTAGGGACTCAATCCAGTGAAATTGGAAATTTCCATAAAATCATCACTAGCTTCGACATTGG